TGACGGTGCGCCAGCGAATCCCCGCAGCTTTGTTATATCAATTACCCTCTCGACCCATACACCAACAATGAGGTGACGACAGCACGGTTGTAAAATCCAAGGAGAATCGACTGAAGAGTCAAGTTTAAGTCGTACCTGTCGTTCGAACTTTGCTCATTCTAATGAGCGGGAGGAGGGTGTTTCAAAAATTTAGAAAAAGGGGACGAAGAAACAAACTGAACGGATATCTTGACCAGGCGATATACAAACAGACTGTAAAGAAGTTCCTTGCTTGCTACGCCCACCTGATATTTAGGGTGACTGAGCAATAGAGTAGTCTTATCGCCAGAGATCGCGTCTAACAACCGAAAACACTAATGTCTACACACAAATGGTCCCCTCCTTAAGATCCTTTGAGACATTTCTTCGCGAGAATCAGAACACTTACCTAGTATCTTTGATAAGTGTCAACCCGTTCCCACATAACAGATGAGATAGTAGACCGGGTCTTTGCTGAGTGTCGACAAGGCCGCGGCGGAGGCAACTGTTCTTTTGCGCCTTGACGGAGACGGACCCACCGTCAAACTCGATTACTACACGTGCTCAAATCCCTCCCATCCTGTTTCTCCGTGAGCAGACATTGTGAATCAGGGCAACTAGTTTCAGTACCTCCTTCCTCACAGCTACCCATCAGTCATTTGTGACAAACGTTAACACTTCTCCATAGGTTCGACCTTGGTCATAGACCATACCGTCAAACAGCAGAGTGACAACGAGTAACTATTGTTCTATCTTCACTGTTCAGACCCGAAACAGAGTTCAGAAGAGGAAAATCTCACAAGTAGATAGGGTCTCCGTGTTGAAAATGCATCACTCGAGGAGGAATTCAACACCAGACCATATGAATGTAGACCGCGTGGTTGAAGGATGAGTGGATCAGCCACTAGTGGTCAATGTTACATACAATGCTCCGCTGACAACTGTATGTATAGAACATGCACTGCAGCACAGTACTTCCCTTCTCTTCAGCATATACAGGATGAAACTTCGGTCAAAATTGCCGAATCATCTGACTGGTCTGATGTGCTGCGGACGTGATAACTCGACGACCGTGCTAATCGGTCGGGTCAACCTGGACTAATCTTAACCGTCTCACCAAGGGAAGAACTTTCCCTATGAAAAGCACGAATTACAAAAATCCAACATGACATCAATTCAAGTTACTGTTGAATTGGGGTAAAAGGTAGCGCAAGGCAATCCCTAAGCTACCTAAGCCTGCTATTTTGTGGGTTCGTCAGATTTAACAAGAATGAAGTTCATTCAGAGTAGCATGTGATTACGTATGTGGCAAAATTTAGATGTACTCTTGGATTAACTGAAGCATAAGTAACCTGTTCGAAATCAGCCCAGCGGATAAACATTGTTCAGGCTTCTTAAAGCCTAAAGATCGGTTGCGTTGCCACCCGATCAAGACCGAATATTCCTATCTTCTCCGCAAGATTGAGTGTAGCACATCAACAACAGCCGCCATCATCATCGACAGCATGACAAAAGTGTTCAACGCCGATGCTTCACTGCCGTACAACCATGACTTATTTGAAAGCCTTATTGTAAAGAAAACAATAAAGTTGGACAGGGAAGGGACTTAGTACTAGCTTACCACAATCATTCCGAGGTGCCTATACCTCCAGACATTCACTCAGGCAATCTGGATAGAAACTGACAACAAGAACGCCACTGACATCGGCTGGCAGCCATATTTTGTAGTGTCTCCAACCAGGCACAGTGAGGATCACGCGGTCCCCCTCCTGGAAGGCGAGTAGCACCGACAGCACCCAAGAGTTTCGTCATCTCCTTCATACTCCTCTGCCAAGTTAAGGGTTGGCCACCTCCCTGTTTACGCCACTCTGAATTGGGCATGGAAAACAGCACTCTCTTCGGCATACGTAATACATGTCCCAACCAACGCAGCTTATGGGGCTGGACACATTATTCAATGGAAGTACCCATTGCACCACCGAAAACGTGCTTTCCAACCGCCTCGTTACGGATTTGCCGACACCAACCCACAGGAGCTATAGTTCTCAGACAACGATTGTCGAACATCTGAAGAGGCCAAGCCTCACAGGCATACAACAAAACAGCCCGTACTGTAGCTTGAACAAATAAGTAGCATGAAATGTTAGTTGACCCATTACATACGGGACTATTATCTACCGAATCAACACCAAAGCGTCCGCACTGAAATCAAATCAACCTTGTTCCAAGTTTACAACAAACAGATAGGCTACGAAGGGAGAAATGAAGTTGGCTAGCGGCAAAACACAAGAAGGCATTCGATTCACCAGGAAGCTAGAATACACAGTAATATATCGGTTTTCCCATAACCAAGATGTGATATGAACCGGAAGATACACACCCAAGAAACAAAGATGGAAAGGGAACAAGCAACTAGTGGTTAGAAACGGTAAAATTTGGTAGAGGGGCAAAACGTCCCACATGCAACCATTTACCGAAACGTTACTTTCGGTTGACTTCTTTGGATTTAGCTTGAACAAAACAGAAAATTGCCGGTGGAAGAATCGAGACAAAAGCTTCCAGGTCGAACCAGAAACTTTTGTTATCTGCAATGGAGCTGCACTGTTGCACATCCAAACATTCTCGCTTAAAAGTTACCAAAACGCAACATATGGTCATACCGTCTGCCTGATTATTCGAGCGGGTCGACATTCGGTTGGCAACCAGATGTCTTGTCTAATAAGCTACCACCGTGAGGAAGCTGAAAGGCTACAAGGGTGTGGTGACTTGCTGAACGGTAGTGCAAGCAACTATCGATCCCTTGGCTTCCTGCTCCGCCCACTATGGTACATCAAACGGCACGGCAGCTGAACACAGCGCGGTATGGAGACAAAAAGAGAATCATTACACCTATATTTATAGGGTAATCACAGAGTGTTCCACAAGATCGTGCTAGAATCACCGTGAGAGGGCGAGGAGCGTCGAGTCAGAGATGTTCGATCCGGATTGGCTGGCATTCTTGCCAATCACAGAGCGGCTTCGTTTGGTCCGTACTCTGCACGTGACACATCCGTTCATATGATGTTATGTTCGGTTATTAGGGATAGCTGGCCTCCGTACAAAAGGCAAAGTCGGGTTCAATTCCAATTGGACAAGTATGAATTTAAAGTAAGACTCGTATTGACATTCTGTATGCTCTATGCTTCAGGAAAGACGAGATTCAATTCCCAACAGTTATTTAAAATCCTGAACCCACCTTGTCTTAACGATCACAGGCAGAGGAAATGGGGATTGAGATGGCTCACTAATTAGAGCGCGAATTTACGAACCGGAAGACCCGTGGTTCGAATACAGCCTAAGCATCTCGACTACTCCTGCCTAGGGTTGGGTAACCTGGCAGTATCCCAGCCCTCATGCTTCCTTCACATACCACCTAGGTACCGAAAAGGTGTTACAGCGAGCCAAACTTGCATGTGATTGGTCAAAAATGGACGACTAGCTGATTCGGTATCAAGCAGGGCTCTGATTGGTCGGAAATAGTGACCCAACAACCAATGGTATTCCAGTATCCGCTTAACGCAAATTGCAAATTGTCGGGTTCCAGAACGTGATTATTACATTCTAAACACGAAATGATCTCAATGGTTTTTCGATATGCTTTAGGGTGTGTTCAAGATTTGATGATAGAACGCTTCGTTCAGCTGCAGAACTCTTTCGGTGCCTACCTGCCATGTCACACGAAGGAGACACGAGGGCTGGGGTACTATCAGGTTGCCCAAGCCTAGACAGGGGAAGTCGAGAGGCAGAGGTCGGGTTCGAACTACGGACCTTTCGGTCAGTAAATTCGCGCTCTAACCATCTGAATATGGAACTCTCATTGAAAGCGGATACGACTTGTAAATACTAGGTAGCCAATATCCACTTCAGCAAATCAAGAGTCTACCGCGAACATCGTCAGCGAGCAGACCCTGAGACCGAAGATCTAAAGAGACCTACAAGGTCTACCAGAATGTCAGAAAAAGTTGTGACTAGGCTTGTTAACTGAGCTGAGAAGATTGATCAAGCTGTGCAAACGAGGATCCAACCGACTAGACACATCCACGTTACGAGTTCACAATGACAGTCTCAGTCACGGACATACAACATGAACGAAAATGCAATGACTTTGCATCAAGTGAACTCTTCAGGCACAGAATATCCAATCAAAATGGTCTGTGGCCGCTCTACAGCAAACAAAGACGGAAAAATTCCTTCGTCTGAAGGCGACATCAGGACAGAAAGGAACAGAGAGGAACCACGGAGACCAGCATTTTAAGGAATCGAGCTTGTTCACGGACACAGAAATAAGCGACAATTCGATCGAAAACACTTACCTGAATTTGGAGCAGCTTTCTTAGAATGACCACGCACTCCGCCACAACTTTCTCTGAAGAACAAAATAGTTTGAGGTCATGGAGAGAACAAGGCGACGGTGTTTGGGTCGAATACGCATGGGTCAATCGGTCTAGTGTACGCGGAAAAAGATGGAGTTGTGTGTATTTATCAGGTGGATCGTAGCCACAGTAAAACCAACGTGATGAAGGTATCGTGTCTGAAGGGTCATTTTGTCAGTAATCCATCCGGTTCACGTTCTACCAAGGGCTGTAGCATAATGAAAGCTGTTCGGCTTATTCAACTTTTTGGTTCGCACAGCAGGAAGGCACAATTGTTCACCTGGTGGATCAAAAACGAAGATTCCCAGAGAAACCACAACAAAGTAGGATGGTCGCGATCCTGAACAACTATATAAGGGTGGAAACCGGGATGAAGTCGACGGATAGTTTGCGAATTTACTGACCGGAAGGTCCGTGGTTCGGACCCGACCTGTGCCTCTCGATATCCCCTGTCTAGGCTTGGACCACCTGGCAGTAAAAAAACCGTTCAGCTGTAGCACTCTTCCGGTGCCTAGCTGCCATGCCACCCGAGGGAAGCACGAGGGCTGGGATACTGCCAGGTTGCCCAAGCCTAGACAGGGGAAGTCGAGAGGCGGAGGTGGGATTCGAACCACGGGCATTCCGGTCAGTATATTCGCGTTCTTACCACTTGGGCCGTCTCGCCCCCATCTGGCAGTATCCCAACGCTCGTGCTTCGTCCTGGTGACATGGCAGCTAGGCACCCAAAGGGTGCTACGGATGAGCGTTTTTTTATATCAAACGCCTTCTGTGGAAACATAAAGCATGTATGCTCAGTCACACTCATAAGATCAGCTGATTCATGATGACATACGCAGCATGTATAAGAAAGCGCAAATACTCTCTACAGAGCAGTTCCTTGTGGGAAGGAGCGCCATCGATGCTGAGACCTCTTGCTGCTGACATTTGAATCTGACTCAATTTTAGTCATCCCAGACAAGGCGGGTCAACTAAAACTGTGGTTTTAGCCATGCCAAAAGGACAAATGAAACCATTCTGACTTTCACCGAGGCTGAATGGAATGGTCGAATGATTGCCCAACGGCACAACAGACCAGAAGCACAATGGACAACCAGAGAATAGGCTGTACGACAATGAAAAACATCGAGAAGAGGAAGCGATCCTCGGAACAATGAACTGAATGCAAAATAACTAGCTTCAAGTACTTTTTAGATAAAATAACGTTCGCAATGAGAGTTTATCACAGGTAGAATGATTGGTCTGCGTTGAGTTCCCTTTTCACTCGAAATCAAGCTCCAAAAATAAGTAAAATCATCCATGTACTTCAGTTAGCGGTCATTAGGCTGATGTTGAACGTGATAAAAATGATGGGCTCGGCAACGATAAGTGAAGTTCTGGGGAAATTCGGCGTATTCGAATGGGGACATGCACGGATGACATTGCTGTCTTACTAAAGTATCGCTCTAAGCGGACATGGAAATCATGCTTGGCGCTAATCAGTGATCGTCAGTGAACAGAGAGAGAATATTCGCAACAGATCTAAAGTTCGGCCGGTAAAGAACCCATATGCCCACAGTCTCACTTCCAGAGCAATCGAATCCTGTGATTTTTTGTCCCACCAGGACCAGCAAGTCGCATTAACCTGGGAAACATTTCCATTATGGAGTGTCTTTTCTCTTGCGATCCAAATAATTTCTGGACCACGCTTCCTGCTTGAAATCAAGCTCACTTTGAAGCGAATGCCTTAGAGGCCAGAACATTACTACGTTAAAAACACGCTCTGAGCTGAAAGCCAGTCAGTAATCCAACAAACGATGCACCGAAGTGTAGTGGTTCCACCTGCTACGGCTTCGTTCACCGAGGAGGAGCAGGATCAGAGGTTGAAGGCGATGGCCCAATCTGTGCATTGACGTAAAAGGGACAATAGCCCTCATGCAAGACAGCCACTGACTGCGTGACACAGTCATATCTGACAGTTTTCATGCAAGACCGCCACTGACTGCGTGACACAGTCATATCTGTCAGGGCCACTAGTCGTTGGTGTACCTCGCCCCACGGTCCCCATCCAAGAAGACAGCAACCCAGTTAATTGATGAGGACTTTCATGTCTAGTTGCCAAGTCATGCACTAACTGTCCTTGAGTCGCCCCCATCAGACACAAGGCTGGGTGAAGAGAACCCTATGACGCAATCGGTACTTTGACATACAAACTGCCTGGCCTGACCAGCGTAATCTGTGAAGTGTGACGAACTGATTGACCTAGTTAGAGTGGGCTTTCCAGAAAACCATCTGACATACCTAAGCAGTATCCGTTTCCAAAAAAACTGGCGCAATGCTTCGGAAGCACCGATGGTCAAACAACCAAAGGTAGTGGTCTCCGATCCACAAAGTACGACAGATCAGATCGCAGCATTGTACACCTTACTCTTGACGGTTAAGCTGATGTCACGTCGGTGCCACAAATGTCTGAGATAAGCAAGTGATTTCACCTTCAGCTGGTTCGTCGCGACAGCTGTCCAGATAGACAAACGTATCCACAACATCGATGGAAGCATGAGGTTTGGGTTCGATCCCACCCAATCTTTCAGTAGCAATTTACACAGAGTACCGAACTGTACAGCAGAATTAGTTAGTTCAAGTCCAGGCATCAGTGGATGTCTCTAGTCATTCTATCATGCAAAGAATGGACTGGTTGGTTGACTTGTTTTAAAAAATAAAGCTGAGAAAGAAACACATGGGTAGAGCGCCGATAGATAAGCGAGAAAGGTTAACCTCAGTTATGACTCACCATCCGGACGAGACATGAGTCGAACTAGGCCACCAAGACAAATGTCCGCGATCTGCGGTATGGAGCTTGCACACCGGCCGATGGCTTGAATGGTGGAAATGACAAACTCTTGATCGGAACTGTTGACGTAATGCTGTATAGGCGAAAACGAGAGGAGTAGGGTGTGAGTTTTGAACGATGAGTACGTAAAAGAAAGAGCCCGAGACTACGCTTTAGATTCACCGTGTTTCGAGCACCAGTTAGTTCACTTGACCCAATCAAACATTAGAAAAAAGCAGTCTACGATCGGACTTTTTTGTTCCAAAGGTATTTGCGACTTGTATCAATAAAGATTTGCTACTGAACAACCTACACAGGTAACCCAGCTGAGTGCCTACACACGCCATACAAAACTTTTGAGTCATTACGGTTTTAAAAAAATCAACTCCCCAAATTGAAGTTTCAGATGCGGATTGCGCACAGCCAAATATCCCAACCAAAGAAAACAGTTGTGATAAAATCACTACCACTTTCTGTTAAGCCGAATTCCACACGGATCCCTCGCAGTCAGGTGCTGCTACGGCCGAGTCCATCCCACGCAAGCTTGGCCAAAAGTTCGGGACGCTCGCCGGTCCGGCATCAAGCCGAGGTCTGATTGGTTGAAAGTCTGGGCCCAACAGCCAATCAGGACCCAGTACTGGCCGAATGCCGGTTGCCAATAACGGACCCAGAAAGGTAGTGCCGGTTGTGCTACAAGTGTTCCTGACTTCCTTTTGGGCGGTAATATACCTTGTGCACCTTTAGTGGTTGTTTGGACGTGAACACTAGCTTGGGAGGCTCAGACCAAGAATAACGCTGAGAAAAATACCGTTACTACACTTTATTAACAACATGAACGAGTCCTGGAAACAACTGAATCTGGCATTCAGTTGGCGTGTCCCTCGCTAAGCGAAAGAGGACAAACGAACACCGTCACCCCGCCGCCTGATCAATGAATATGCGACGTTGACAACATGTGGTTTAAAGTACAATGGAATTCTTGACTTCCAAGCTCCACTCGACAATTTCAGGCGAAACACAAGCAAGAGCATCAGTGTGAGTCTTGGGAGGAACAGTCGTACCGGGGACACAAGTGCCTGTGGCGCGGAATTTGCTTGCATTAGAAACATTCCAAAGAAGTATCTTACAGCATCACCCACGAAATGCATTGTTTTTTTCAAGTGAGTGACTAAGTACCAGGCCTTACGCACCGATTATCACTCTTTTACGGAAACGTGATCAGCACTGCCACATCAACCATAGCAGTGAATGTAATGCATGCGGTCTCTCAGTCTTCACTGAGGGCCACTGACAATGGAACAAATGACCTGCATTTTATCGCATTCATGAGTTTTTCAGTGCACGAACTTCCGGCAGTGCTCATCAAACCACTGTCCGTATCCGATCTAAGGCAGCCAGCCACCTTGTCGGTGACCGGGATGCAACTTCACTAAAAAAGCGTACCCAAACGACTGCTCGAAGCAGGGAAGTCCAACAGGTTCGATAACACAGCAATACAGCCTAATACGCATGTGAGACACAAGTCTGATGAATTTGATCGGCAATGACAGCAAAGGCCACATCCTTACATTACACCGAATACCCGCAGAAACGTCACGCGTACTACCGAGTACCAATCACGGTTTTCCCTCATTCCAAAGCCGTAACACCCTTTCGGTGCCTAGCTGCCACGCCACTCGAAGTAAGCACGAGGACTGCCAGGTTACCCAAGCCTAGAGAGGGGGAGTCGAGATGCAGAGGTTCGAACCAGTTACCTTCTGGTCAGCGAAATCGCGTTCTAACCAGTGAGACATCTCGCCCTCCCCTTCAGCTCTCATTCCAGAGGGGCCTTCGGCTCCATGGACGGATTGAGTCTTCTTCAATTACTTGACCATTGCGTAAAGCCATCGAAGGTTGAAAAAAACTGTAAAACCTGTATCACCCTACTTCTGACAATACTAATTTCCAAGACAGCTCACTCTAAAAAATTTTACACACCTGGCGACGTTGGCTAATTTCGACCCCGTTTTGTTCAACTATGCCACTGACACAAAACGGATCTAGCGGGTTGGATTGGCGGAAAACATTGCTTGACGACCATGGGTGCGCATAAACTAAATGGCGTTTCAAACCTTCAAGGCGCAGTCTTAATTCGCGATTTTCACTCCACTGCAAACTTCGAACCGAGCAGCTAGAGTTTGATGATCCGTTCGCTTAACTTGAGAGCCGTGAAATGGGTTCGGTGTCAGCTATAGGCCATCACAAGGTAGACACAGTCTACAGAAACTAACGTGAAAGCAGTCTTAACTTGTGACTGTAAAATTTGATCTGCAAATCTCCGGTGTTATCGAATATCCTATCGCTGACATCCTCGTAGCATACCGGAGTGTAGCATGTCGGTAACGAATGGGTCCATACCCGGTAATCCAGGTACTCGCTTGAACAGAAGACAAAACCTGTCAGATTAAAGTGGTTTGAGGATTGGACCCATCCATCAAACACAAGTCTGTTTTCCACTTCAATACCTTGCTGGCGACAGGTGTGGGACAGGTCAAAATGTGGAATCCAAGCGACTGCGGTTAGGGTGAACGCAGTGGGCTACCTGTGCCCTCTTGCATGGGATTTATATGGCTATCGTTGCCGGTGAACCCACAGTAGATTCTATGTGACCGATACCAATGGTTAAAGTACTGCCCATTCCAAGCAAGACTCCTTAGCTAACCCAAGTTTGTCGTTGTGTATGGGACTTGTGTTGGAAGCGGTCGACCCAAATGTACTTTTTCAGCCAGGTCGCAGTGAGCAAATTCTAGTGCCCTCACCGCAATATCAAATCCCACGTAATCGAGGAAGGACAATACGCAACAGATAGTATGGTGGATGTTTTGTCTTTATTTTACACGGTCGGAGAGTTCTAGGCCTGGGTAAACTAGCAATATCACAGCCTTTATACTCCTTTCGGGCGACATGGCAGCTAGGCACTGAAAAGATGAGTAATTAGTATGAACGATTACCAGCGTTATCATTATTTCACACAGTTGATGCTCCCAAAATCTCAAATTGCCGGAAAATTCCCTGCCCTAATCACCTGCTGAATTGGCGAAGCCAGTAGGTCAAAAAATTGATAACTGATCGTAAAAGAAACTAGTCCATGGATGTATCAAATCGTTGATCATGAGTTCAATTTACGTCATTGATTAGCTCAGGGTCTTCTAGGAAAAGGGAAATAACCAACATGAGGATGGTAGAAGACAAAGCTGACCTGAAATTCATGCAAGATGGTGGAACTGGTGGCTTCGGTGACCAAGTTGGTGAGGATTTCCAGCTTGATTAGTTTCACTTGTAGAGGGTCATCGGCATAGACGTAGAATGAGCGCTGAAACGGTTCGAATAGTCCCCGATGAACCATGCTCAAAGTGGCGATGTTGCAGAGGACAACGTATTGAACTTCCCTGGAAGCATGTGACAGAGAAGGAGACGTTCTGTGAAGAAAGACTCATTGAAATGTCGTGAGCGACAAGCTAATGAAATGTCAGCTGGGGCCTATTGATTGGACAGAAAAGGCTTTGACGAAAAACCTTCGAATGGTTCGAACCGAAAGCTGAACAACTCGTTCTAGAAGATTCAGGGTCAAATACTTGTTATTACATGGCACATTGGATCGAAAGTGACGCAACTACCAATCTATCAGTTTCAAGTATGAGGTGAATAAGTAAAGTCTAGAATATGGAAACACGGACATTCTCAGGAGTAAGAAATCTAATCGCGACTGTTTGCAAAAATAGGGGTCTTTCCGGCCTGGTTGTGTACGACCAGGGCAAATTAACTCTGACAGCTTGCAACCATTGGGTTTTAGTTATCCCGTCGATGTGGACGACAGTGAATCTGGCATACATGAGGTGTTTTCAAAGAACACTATCTGCAATAACGTCGCTGTGCTTGGGAGCGCACTTTCGACTTGTTTCCTAAAACGAACGTGAAGGTGCTGAGTGTACCAATTTCAGTTTGAGGGTTCGGACCAACATCAAGGTCGTTGCCTGAAGGAGTGTAAGTTGGTGAACCAAACTCGATGTCTCGATTTCGCCTCTGAAGCTGTGTAAAGGTAAAGCAGGTTTCCGAGAACGGTGTGCTGCGAGCAGATACCACAGCTGAGGCCCGGGAGAGAATAGGATATATATGGGGCGAACGAAATGCGTGATGTACGGGCTTACCGGCTCCCTCTCAGACATCGAATCAAAGCTTTGGCAACACCAGGAAAGTGTTCCTTGGCCTCCAGAGCGAACAGCAGTTGGGCTACCGCAAGCACAACCTGCGAAAAAGAGTATAGAGGTTTACATAACAGGATGCAGCAACTCACTCAAGGTTAGCTGGAAAATATCACAATGCGAATTTGTATTTAAACACCTATCTAAGTCTGTCTACCAATTACGATCACGTGGTTGTGCATGGCACCCATCAGTGTTGGGCTGCTCGTTTCTTTGATTTACGACCGAATTCACTCGCTTCAAGCACCGTACAGGTAAATGGAGGGCTGTTTTCTGAAAAAGTTGGGCCAGGTACATGTCAAGTTAAACATATTCAACATACTTCAAGACCAGATTCAGGTTGAGAAGACTCCCAAAGCCCCTGTGTGGTCTACGGGACGGTAGTAGAGAACCAACCGTGCAACATCCAACACGTCATCAAGAGTTTGCGCCAAACCACCAAAAATTTTAGGACTATTAAAAAAACCGCTGGATTTCGAAAGTAGTATTCTCCCTACAATTGGTCCCATGCGCCTACACACAAGCCTTAACAAGTTAATATCCCGAATTGCCTCGCTAATTGTCGTCGAATTCAAATATACATGTCAAAACAAAAGTGCGAACTGTGACCGGTTGGAGGAACGACGGGGCACAATAAGCCGACTACATAGATGTCTGGCTCCCCCAAGTTATCTGTACAGTTCCCCCAAAAAGTGGATAATATCGGGATATTGAAAGATTTGCCGCAAAGTGGCCTGACTCACACGCGATCGACAGAAAACGCTTATGTACTGAAACTACAAGCTGTAACAAGTTACTTTCGTTTCATTAGACATTACATTCTTCACATAGTTTTTGTCTTGTTCCCAGCATGAAATACACCCAGTGTACGTTTGGCGGCTACTCTGCTAGAATTTCAACGATTGAGCCTGGGCGTTGTCGTGATTGCGTCCCGAAGAAAGAACACTCTGGACGAGAGGATCTCTGGTTTCGCCTACTCGTCATTCAAAGTACGGACGCTATTGTGGACTATATATATAAGACAACCGTCTATCGTCGGAAGTTGCCACGAATAATCTACACTAATTACGTTATCATCAGTTACACATTAGGCGACAATCTCTGGCCCATCGTACAGGTGAAAGTGAGGAGACTTACCGCAGTCGTTCGACTCTGTAACAAAAACCGGCACGAATTGACAAGCAAAGAGTAATCAGCTTGCAGAATGGGGATGGCATCTTCCATGGAATAAGGTTGAAGGTCTTTGCCGTCAGCACCAGTGCCCTTGGTCGACAACATCTCTCCATCCGTCGCAACATCAGTACACGACTCAAGCTCAATCAAGTCCGATGTTTTGATTGTTTCAAGTTGACCGTTAGGAGTAGAGCTCACCTGAAAGGTGGAAATCCAGACGAATCACACAATTCACGTGGCAACTTTGAGAAGGAACCAGAAAACGTTACAATCGGTCAAGCTCACTTGTACTGATGGGAGTTTTGCGGGATTGAGAAACTGCGTTCGGGCATAACGCGTGAGAACATTCAAGATTATCACCTGACCCCATTCGTCCACATCCATTAGCAGAGAGCATATTTTTCGATAGTGCCTAAATAAAACAGGAGGGTAGAAGGGTGGAAAAATCAGGCTGTTGCGCCAATTTCTCACACAAAGATAGTGGGAATATGTCACCATTTCACACGGGGCAGAATGAGAGCATGTAATGAAAGGGCACCAAAATGCTCGGAGCAGAAGGATCCTTTCCAAGAGAGGCAATTCCCCAAAAAAGTCTGGAACAAACGATTCTGCCAACTTTCCACAGGATGCCCTATTTTCGGTGGGGTCACATTCTGCCTCTATAGAGTCCATGATTTTACCTGCTCAAGAGGACCACATAGACATTTATTCTGAAAGAAATGTGCTGCGGGATGTTGACGGACTTTGAAATGATACAAACCCAGCCGATCCAGTCGAAATTCAAAGCCAGAAATATTGTATTACTACTCGCAATGTGAAGAAGAAAGCCAGTTCCAAGCGCTACTACTTGTCTGATATCTTCAAGCAGGAATTACTAGTCATGAGGTTTATCCGACACTTACGGATGCTCACGAGTAAAAAACCGAATACCGATGGAGCAAGGTGTTGTGTCTTGCTGAGCGGTAATGCAATTCTGTATCGGTCCCTTGGCTTCCTGCTCCGCCCATATCAAAAAGCACGGTAGCTCTACACAGCCCTTTATGGAGACAAAGGAAAATTATTACAACTGTATTTATAGGGTAGTCACAGAGTGTTTCACAAGGTCGTGCCAGAATCTGCGTGAGGGGGCGAGAACCGTCGAGTCAAAGGTGCTTGACTCGGATTGGCTGGCATTCCGACCAATCAGGGCGTGCCTTCGTTTGGTCCGTGTCCTGCACGTGACACATCCGTCCAAATGATGCGATGTTCCGATATTAGGGGCGGCTGGCCTCCGAACACAAGGATACAGGTACCTGATATTTCATGTCAAAGTGTATGTGTCGTTCTGTCAATAAAATCGACCTGGGTAGTTGTTCCCATAGAGATGAAGAAAGCTTGCTTAAGATGTAGCATACCAAAAAGGCGACATCCGAAATGAAAAAGCCGAACACGGACACTGAGAATGGGTCGACACTCATACACACTTCTAGGAAGATAGTCCAAGTTATACAGGCCTTCCGTACTGGTGGATACCCATTTCATATTGCAACTTCGTTTGCAGTGGGAAGATCTTAGGATGAGTGGGCATTTCTAAGGTGTTTCAAAAATCGAAGCGCACAAACAAGAGAGCACAGACAAGGAATACCATAGAACAACACTGATTAGACCAGAACATTCGCATCGGAGAACAAGGGAAAAGTTCCACAAAATTCGGTAACAGTTTCACTACTAACCCGGTTAGACATATTACTGGACCTAAAAAGCGCCTTTGTACATGATTCGCGTTCATTGGGCGTTGATATATGAGCATCAAACTAAGTGAGAGAAATGCCTAGGTAGAGATCTAACTCCACAATATTGAAATGTGTTTGAAATGCCCCAAAATCTCCTTGCATCTACCCAAAAAAGGCCGGTAGCCCAACTTCGGGGTTTAGAGTGGTGTAACGCAATGAGCCAGGCAGCAGTACTTCAATGAATGACAGTCGTCTCTTTGGTGACTTCTGTCGTTCCACCGATAATGCAGATGCGAAAAATCCGATTGCTGACGATGCATTAGTGAAGTAACGCAGGGCATCACCGATTTGGGTAAATTTGCTGTTTTTATATAGGATAAGTAAGTGAATAGTGTCCGGAGATCAGCCGTCCCTAATAACCGAACATCACATCATTTGGACGGATGTGTCACGTGCAGGACACGGACCAAACGAAGGCATGCCCTGATTGGTCAGAATGCCAGCCAATCCGAGTCAAGCACCTGTGACTCGACGCTTCTCGCCCCCTCACGGAGATTCTAGCACAACCTTGTGGAACACCCTATGATTACCCTATAAATACAGTTGTAATAAATTTCCTTTGTCTCCATAAAGGGCTGTGTAGAGCTACCGTGCTTTTTGACATGGGCGGAGCAGGAAGCCAAGGGGCCGTAGAGTTGCACTACCGTTCAGCAGAGCACGACAGATACTGAAGAAGATGGATTTGAAGAAGATGGATTTATCTCTAAAGTCTGAAATTCCAACGGGATGGAAAAGACTGCCAAGGACCTTCAGCCGCCTACAAACTTGTGATAAACATCTCTCAAAAAGTATCACCTACTAGAGACTAGCTTCGACGAAATATTAGAAAGCAAGCGAGACTATGCAGGCAATGTAGGATGGTAGGAACGCTACAGAATTTGAAAAGTGAGAAACTGGAGAGCACGAAAAGCAGCAAACGGTGACCAACAACTACTGCAAGCGAACAAACAGTTTTTCGAAATCGAACTGGAGAAGCAACAAGCTGTCAGGGGTGACAGACCCTATCAACACAAAAATCGAATACCAGTCAAAAACCATGATTCCATATGAGAGCGTCATTTGAGCACACGATGCCCGCCTGGACTGCGACGAACGCCACGCAACACCTACGGGTGTATGAGATCCAAACGGTCGGGACAAAGTTCTTCAAAGACCCGGATAGCACTGCCAATCACCAACGTAGTCTTGTCGGCCAACAGACGCTCCAGTAACTCGATCAAACGATCCTTCTCTTCGGGATCAAGGCTGAAAAGGAGGAGACAGAGTTTAATAGTAACAGTATTAGGAAAATAAAGCATCAAGTGTGAGACATGTGAGACAACAATCAGAGAGGGAAATTAACAAACCCACCTGTACACCTTCAGAATCGCATGAGCAGCCACTTTTCGGACAAAAGGCGAGAGGTCTTTACAAGCATCTTGTATAGCCAGCATCACGATAGGGAGCAACATTGGGATGCGTATGGACGACAGGACGCGGAGAGCAGAGGCACGAATCAAAGGATTGGGATCCTGAAAAGTGGAGGACGGGTAAGGACAGAGAATAAACCTTCCGTTTTCACAGCCTATTTGCTTTACCGAACAACTTATAGTTAAACGAGCGGGACGTGTGTAACGCTAATACAGAGTTCACCTGAATTGTGGACTACACAAATCCTGACAGGCTAAATGTGCCCCGATGAAATTCTGGGATGTGGGGTGGTGAACGAATGGAAAGGAAAATAGAGCAGCCCCTGGGAAAAGAAGACAGTTACGAGGATTGAACCAAATGGTATGGTAATTTAAGTCGATCTCGTCTGATGGGAACAGTGCTCATCGGCCGCACAACAGGATGTTACTAACCACGCAGCAATTCTTGACAGTAAAACAACAGACCAATGAAACTAGTGGTCCTTCCGTTTAAAGGCACGCTCAACTGCAACTTTTGGAGCTTAGCTGCCATACCACCCGAAGGAACCAAGAGGACTGAGATACTGCCAGGCTCCCCAAGCCTGGACAGGCGAAGTCGAGAAGTCGGGTTCGAACCGCGGACCTTTCGGTCGATAAATCTGCGCTCTAACCACCGAACAGTCTCCCCCCCCCCCGCTCCATGAAGGCTCACTGACCAGTCTCTGGTCGACACTACTGTTACGGACTACAGAGATTATTGGGGTAAAGGATAAAAGCCCAACACTGAAAGCGGAATCAGTTGGAATAGTTTTTTGATCAAACATACCACTCTTCGAGAGTCCACCATCTGTTTCTCCTTTCTTAAGGCTCATCAGTCAGCGTAAACGAGAGATTTAGTCAAGTCTCCCATCAATATCAGCGCAATTTGCAAATAAGTGTATTTCGTCATTTGAGTGTAAATCCTTCAGTGAAAAGCCGTTGATAAGTCCGAAAAGCTCCGCGTTCCCATGTTTCCACTATTTGACGCATTTGTCATACTGTAGTAGAACTACTGCAATAGCAAACCGAACGCTCCAGCCCGCACACACGCTCATAAACACACAGGGTCACAAGAAACAACATGAAGCGCCCGGCGTGTATAACTAAGCCCATACGTTCGCCGAGGGTGATCCGTATAAAGAACATCATAAACGAGATTCATGGTGCAGTTTCCAAACAAATTACAAAGTACGGTAACATAAGGTCTTCTCAGACACAGTAACGCCCTCTGGAAAGACCGCTCCCATAAAGTGACCGCTTTTGGTTGGTCTTATTTTCACCAGTGATTGAGACCAGTGCGGGAAACTATCTACGTTCGGCCCATTACTCCAATACAGAGAGGAGAACCTAAATAGTGTCATGAGAGGGAACACCGTAGGCGATGGCAAAGCATGTAGAATTTAAGTTCACGTCGCTCTAAGTGGAACAGTTCTTATCCTATTTTGGCATAATTAAGCTGCCGAGTCCACATCACCGACGGAAAGCATCGGACTCTAGTCTTGCCTCTCTTGGATCTCTTCAGTGCATATCCTTGATCGTGCCGAGATCTGAACAGCGAAGATCTGGAATGCGAGGTGACCGTGTCGCTATTCCACTGGCGCACGCTGGACGCACTCGAATCACCACGTATGAACGAGCGAAAGGGTCCACTTCTGAGCGCTGTGATTAGTTTTCCCAAAACTGCCTCGTATGTCAGATGTCAGGAATTCAATTGTTGGCACTACTACTGAACCGTAACTAGAGCAAAACCGAAGCTTAGTGCTTCCTCTCTATGGGTAGACGCAAAATAATAACTGCTCCAGGGTAGGAGGACTGTTCAAAGTGGAGTGGTGAACAAGAGTGAAAAGAGAGAGCTATTTTCGGGACCTGAATAACCTTGAGGACAAACTTGACTAAAATACGGTCAGTAGGATGTGTAATAAGTGCCGCAATGTAAGAAAATCCGTAGCATATGCTTTGCAATTTGCCATTCCAAACTCATACAAAAAGATATTCCGAACAGAACACACGCACATAGGGTCAGGACCTGGGTTCCTCATTCAAAATGGTAGATGATGATTGAAAAAGCTCGATGTAGAAGGCAAAGCATGTCAAATACCGATAAAATAAGTAAAAACAGCCCCATGGCATTGTTTGTAGTTCCACAATGACGGTATACGGTTACAAGAGAACAAGCAAGCCGATATGGGGGAACCTGAATCAAATACCACATGCACAACTGACCTTGAGCGACCGTTGGAATGTGGAAACCGAAAGAAGGGCTACATCTTGCTGCTCCTCAGCATACCGAGTAAGGTAAGCGAACACAAGTTTCCTAATCTAGAACAAAAGCAAGATAGCTGGAAAAGCATATTTCGACTGCGTACCTCCGGATTCTTGGATACCACATTTTTAACGACGGAAGGGAAAAGTTCCGAACAATCCCGTCCCCTGGCGACCATCTGTGAGGAATGCGGTATGACCCGTGAAGACACACAAACTCACTCCAATGATGCGACGCATCGCGTCCAGCTTTAATGCGTCCTTGTTACACTCTAACATATTCCTCAGGTCATCGAACCTGAAATCAATTCAGAACAGAAATGCGATGGTAACGAGACTGGGGTGGGGGTGAGTTTAGAAAAAAGTGACGGCTCAGTAGTAAGACCCTTCCAGCACATAGATACCATGCCAGCGGAAAGAAGCATGAGAGCGAAAGTGGAGGTGCTGAGGTTAGGTTCGAACAACTGAACTACCGGTCAGTAAGTTCGCGCCTTAACCACTGAGCTATCTCGAGCTCGGTGGGCGAAGGGGTGAAGAATGATGAAAAACAGGCCTAGTTGCGGTTTAAAAGATATTCCTGGGTTCATAACTTGATCTCAACATAAACAGTCGCATGGATACAAACATATAACATACAAGGACAATGGGAGTCGAAAGCCAACCTCCATTGCTCAAAAATAGACCACTGAAGACAGGTGGCCTATAAGAGTAGTCTGTTGCAAAGGTGGCAGGGTGCATCTCACACTACGCGACCGTTTGAAGAGACGTGAAGCTGAATCGACCCATATTCAGGGGTTCCAGTTACCGTAGGTACAGCGGAGAAACACGTACGTGTAGCCCAAATAATAGCAAGCATTTCAGTGGTGGTACCACGAAGCGTTTCGTCTCTACATTTCAGTGAGGACATTTATCAAAAAACGAGAGGCTATATTAATGGATCATCAGCCACTGCTGGAAGTTTGTAAATAGCACATACAAGATCTCTACGTTGATTCAAGTGCGCCAAGGTTGAAAAGCGCAAAATTACCCAGTCTGCTCTATTCTTGAGTGGAATTATTGTTGATTGTCATCACAAAGGCTTTGACAAGAACGCCCACTTGCACCATTTAGCCAGAGCATTTCAACTATATCTAGATGCACGTACTGTTCACTTTCATTGACAAACGCAGCTCACTAAGCTGGACAAAGATTATGGGTTCCGGACACAACTCGGATCTTACAAGGGGCGTCAGACCGACGATAGTATCTCAGTGATGACAGGTTCGGGCGATTTGTATTCAACCGAAACACAACTGGGTACCATACGCCATTGAAACTTAGATTCGGATAGATGAAAATGTGACGTGATTAGAGAAGTCGGAGGTTTGTACTAGCTTCTCTTATACTTGTTGCATGATCAGTTTATATTGATTTTACTAAGAATGGACACAAAATAGCAATTCCCAGATGTTAACCCAGAGCATTATAACCCAGGTGGTAGCTTGAAGCGATAGAAGCACAAAGGCCCGGTGGGTGATGTGAAAAAAGGTAGACGCAAAAAACATCAACCAATCGACAGGTAGTTGCCACAGTTGGTCGAACGGCATAAGTCACTTACTTGTGAAAGTCTGCAGAGAACACCAGGCCTGAACCCAGTTCTGTACCATACTCAACGTCCGATGAACGTCCTGTGCTGGATTTGTCAGCAAAAATTTGAGAGAAGGCAGCAGTCTGAAATCCATCGTCCATCACCTACGATTTAAAAAGGTGCGTTAGTAATGGTAACCATATGAAATGGAGGTTGAAACCCTGTATCACAAGTCTGGGTAGTCGCTTTCATATCCATCCGCTAGGTCAAAGGCTACTCACTTTGAAATGAGTATGGGAAAAAGTACTCTATTCGGTATGCTTATTCCATGACAAAACCACCACAGTTTTCGATCTCGAATTCCCTGGCAAACACGCTTTCAAGCTGTTTCGCTATGGAATCCCTGATATGAGCCTAAATGAGCCAGTTTTCGGACGACAGTTATGGAACATCTGAAAATACCTGTTTCACCATACACAGAGACTACGTTTCACAGACAACAAAACAATCTCTGTCGTCACCTTGCATTGGTGATGTCTCAGGTTATCAGACGTGATCCAAGTCTTGGGGATTCGTGCATTGACTACATCTGTTAGAATACGAGCAGCCTGTTCAATATGCAAAACGATCCACAACATCGAGTGGATCTTTAAAGTGTAAGTGGCTTTTCAGTAACTGCACGCACAGGAGCACGATCTTACACTTTGTGTGTGCAAAAAACATGCCGAACAACGGGATGGCTCTGGTCGAGCCATTCAGAAACACCTGTACTTCCTTTATCTGCCCAAAGATGAGACGCTAAGGTTGGGCTTGAACCACGATTCTTCCAGTCAGTAATTTTGCAACTTAATCACTGGGCTATGTCAAGCGGGAAATGCCATCGCTGCAACACCCTTTCGGCGCCTAGCTGCCATGCCACCAGAAGGAAGCATGAGGCCTGAGATACTGTCAGGATGCCCAAGCCTAGACAGGGGAAGTCCAGAGACAGATGTCGGATTTGAACCATGGACCTTTCGGCCGGTAAAGTCGCGCTCCAACCACTGAGCCATCCCACACACTTTTGAAAAAGTATTTCTGCTTGTTCCAACCCCAACCTAAGGAACCGGGTGATTCCTAACTCTTGAACAATCTAGTATAGAGGACTGTAGCACTTGTAAACTGCTCTTTTTCATGCTCAGTATCATCTTCTTTTTTCCCATCATTATCAGTCACATCGCTGTACAAAAGTTTGTTTTACTGAAATACAACCGTTACCGCCCGCTCGTTGGCACCAACGTGACTTTGAGACTTTTGCTGAGTGACTGTTGTTGTGATCGCCGGTTGGCTATATTTGACCGCTGCTAACACTAAACGTGAACAAACATTTCAGCTACAAACACTGGACTAATATATTCACGCTTGTGGAATAATATTTCGATCACCGGAGATCTGGGATACCAGGAAGATAGAACTATTCTTGGTGTGGTGGTTCAACGGAATACGGAACTACGGAATCTCCTATTTTGAACTGAGTCAAGATTTACTTAGATTTTTCTCCTTGTAACTTTGACTGCAAGTGTCAGTATAGCCCAGTAAGTCACGAAGACACAAACCGTCACATCACGGCAAGGTCCTCTCTTCGGGTTTGGACTCCCTTCAGCGTACCTACCTGACGTCTGATACGCCAAATACCATCCCCAATGGACCCGATTGTTATCAACGAGAAATACTTCACCAATCAATTATTAATTATGATCAGTCTGGGATATAGTGTCCAGTTTTGATTTCATCTACTATGGGGCTGGAAACCATGAACCTCAAAAGTCCATTCAGAAATTCTGCTATTCATAGGTACTTTCCTCGCCCAGTCATCATGATAGACAGCACAATACGGGGTTTAACGCTGTGATGCTTCGCTGTCGTACACCTTGGACAGTGAGCATCTTTGGTGGAAGGGAAACACAGGATGGAGAAATTCATGAAGTCGATAAAGTGTTCGTCCACACAAAAAAGTGCCCCAGAGGATTTGGTGTCCTTTGGAAACAAGGCGAAAAAGATTCTTCAACAAGGTAACTACAAAAGACCCGGCGGAGAGGTTGGTATTTCGTAATTTGCGGAAAAAGCGTGATTCGGAGATTCGCAAAACGAAGTCACAAATGCAGCTACAAAGATTCGCCCGAAAAAATGTTACTTAAATGCATATG